TCATGGGACTTGTTAGAAGTTTTGGTGGACAACCAGACTGTTCCTATATGACTCTGAAGGTAGAAGCTGGGTGCTTTGCCCTGGCCAGGTAGTTCAGTTGTTAGAGCATTATCTTCATATGCCAAGGTCATGGGTTCAGTCCCCAGTCAGAGCACATACAAGAAGCAACCAATGAATGCCTAAATAAGTGAAACAACAAATTGATGTTCTTTTCCTTTCTCTCTCCCCCCTCCCTACCTCTCTTCCCCTCTCTCTAGAATTAATAAATTTTTTAAAAGATTTTTATTTATTTATATTTATTTTTAGAGAGGGAAGGGAGGGAGATAGAGAGAGAGAGAAACATCAATGTGCGGTTGCTGGGGGTCATGGCCTGCAACCCAGGAATGTACCCTGGCTGGGAATCGAACCTGGGACACTTTGGTTCCCAGCCCACGCTCAATCCACTGAGCTATGCCAGCCAGGGCTAGAATTAATAAATTTTTTAAAAAATGTAAATTTAAAAAACTGGATGCTTTGATGTTTAAGTGAAAATTCAGGTTTCAAGAATTTCTTTATCCAGCTGTCATTTTAATTTAAAATTTTTTATTTCTTCTTTTTAACCAGTTGAAGTTGGTGGTTAAGAAAGGAAATCAAACTGAAAATTTATATATAGGTGAGTCCAAATTCCCATTCGAACCTTCTCACTTTCTCTGTGTTCTCTTCCCTCAGTGGGCTTAGGTAGCCCACCACAAATCATTTCCTCCAGAAAATCAAAGCCATTGCCAAGCTGTATTGTAACTACTGCCTTTCCTCTCCTAAAAGATGATGCAAAGATTGTTAATAAGCCATTGGCAGTTGGAGACCCCAGAACTGAAGAACCTTCTGGGAAGAGGGGAGAAAGGAATGGCAGAGGTCGAAGAGCAAGAAGCTCTCGCTGTAGAAGTCACACTGAAACAGCCTAAATAATGCTTCTTTGTCTCTGTGCCGTGGAGTTGGACCGTTTTAAACTCCTCTCCTTTTTTACGGAACTGAGAACTTTCCTATGCTCAAGGCTCTCAGTTTTTTATTATGATCAATTACCTATCAAGAGCTACTTGGTGGTGCTAAGCCAGAAAAGAGAAGAAAAAATCTCTGGGTGGAATTTAATTTTCTTGGATGATTCTGTGGAGTTGGGAACATTTACCTGAAACTGAATTTTCTTCCCCCAGAGTTAACCTTGCCTCAGTTCTACAGCTTCCTGCACGAGATGGAGCGAGTCAGAACCAGCATGGAGTGTTTCAGCTGACTTCTGTCCCCCACCCCGCATCGCCACCATGCCCCGTCCCCTGCCACCTCCTCCCCTGTGGGTGACGGCTCTGAGAAGCACCTCACTCACAGGCCTGCGGGACCCCGATTTGGCCCTGCTTGTTTGTTGGGCGCCCAGGTGCAAGGTTTCTGAAAAACAACAGGATTAAGTACTTAAGGAGCGCTACACAATTACCCTGTAAACTCTTTGTTAAGGGAACCTCCACCACCGATCTCCCAGGACACTTGTTAGAAATTCAGAAAGGCTATTGCATCTCAGATGCGGGGAGGAAACCAGTGAGTCACCTCCCCACCAAAATTCCAGGGTGAACAGATGGTGCTATCACTAAAGATACGCGCTTCCCGTCCTCCTCCCCCTGAAGCGAGGGCTTGTTTATGGCTGAGGAGGAGGTGACTCTGCGGATGACAGACACATGGGGAGCCCCCCGGCAAGATTTCCACACTTTGTGACTGTGGTGGTGGTGCGCTGCTAATCAGTTTTTAAGGAGGGATCTATGTATAGAAACATGTTTGGTCTACAATGAAAAGAACTGAGGCTTAACTGTCTTCATTTCTGCTTTTGCCCTATTGTGCTATAATCAGGCTGGTCTTGGGAGGGGGGTGCTGTTTTAGCTTGTTTGGGTTCAAGCTGACCACCTCTGTTGGTTAGATGATTAATAAAAATGGTTCCAAAGAAAAAGTCTGCATCCAGCTGTTTTTATGTATGGATCAAAGAGCCATCGGCCTTGCAGAGAGCTAATGCTCTGATCTTCAGAAATCACCTCCCCGGCTTGGGTGGCGGCCCTGGGTCTTCAGTGAAAGTAGCTTCGGTCCAACATAGGAATTTGTAAGAGCAGTTCTGGGGAAACTCAGGTTAAAAACATGAAGAGCAGAGCATCTCTCTGCTCTGTGTTCAGATGACCTTAGCCCCTGCCCTAGCACTTAACTTCCTCCTACTTCTCCTCTCAGAAATTTTAAAAATTTTGGAATGGGTAGTATGTACCCATGAAGGTACAGTGTAAAGTAACTCCTTTTCACACCTCCATTTTCCAGTTACCTAGTTCCCCTCCCCAGAGTCCAGCACTGTCGCTGGTTCAGTCTGTGTTTTTCTGCAGGTATTTTATGCATTTGCAAATACACATGCGTAGAGTTTGACGTCCCCCCCCACACACATACACACAAATGGCAGCACACTGTGCACGCCGAGTCCTGCACTTTGCTTCTTCCCACTTACCTTGGAAATCACAACGGAACAGAAAGCAGCCTCCTCATGTGAAACCAATGTGCCATGTTTCTTCGAATGATGGTTTGTGTAACCGGTTCCCTGCTTATGGGTGTTTAAGTTGTTTCCATTCTTCTTCTCTTGTAAGAAGTGCTGCAACTGAATGTTTTTGTATGTATGTCATTTTGCATGCATGGATGTACATTTATGAGGTAACTATATGGGTGTGGAATTGCTGGGCCAAAGAATATGTTTATCAAAGAGCATTAAAAGGAATAAAGCAAAAAGGTCCCTCTGCCATGTCTCCCATTTACTCAGTTCCCTACTGCCCTCCTCCAGCAGGTGACCCCTGCTATCAGTTCCCTAGGTTCCCTTCTACAGAGTTTTTCCCTGCTGTAAGCAGTAGGAATTTAAATGTTTACCCATTTTTTGTTTGCACAAATGATTATGCACTATATTCACTATTTTTAATACACCTTGGAGATCTCGCCTGCAGTACACAGAGTCTGTATCCTTTTCGGTGGTTGCAGCATGTTCTCATATGTGAGTGGATCATAACCAATATTTGCAATTTTGCTAAATAGTGCCAGTATTAGGATTAGGGTTCTCCAGAGAGCAGAACCAACCAACGGAGGGGGGGTGTATGTATAGAGATTGATTCATTTTTTTTAAGGTTTTATTTATTTTTAGAGGGGAAAGGAGGGAGAAAGGGAGAGAAACATTAATGTTTGGTAGCCTCTCACATGCCTCTTACTGGGGACCGGGCCTGCAACCCAGACATGTGCACTGACTGGGAATTGAACCAGTGACCCTTTAGTTCGCAGCCTGCACTCAATCCACTGAGCCACACCGGCCAGGGCTGATTCATTGATAAAGCATTGGTTCACATGATTGCAGAGGTTCTGTAAGTCCAAAATCTGCAGGGGAGGCCAGCCAGCTAAGGACCCAGGGAGGTGTTTCAGATCCATTCCAAAGGCAGTCTGCTGGCAGAATTGCTTCCTGCTGAGGGAGGCCGGGGAGTTAGTCTTGGTTTGAAGACCTTCCACTGATTCAAGGGGGGCCTGCCCACATTATGGAGGGGAATCTACTCTAATTTCAAAGTTCCCCAAATTAAATATTAATCTCACCCAAAAAATGCTTTCACAGAAACATGCAGAACAATATTCGACCAGATATCTAGGTATAGTGGTGCCCTCAAGTTAATACATGAAAGTAATCATCAATGACCTCTATAGAGATTGTCCAGTTTGTGTGAGATTACTGTCCACAGCACCAAAGAAGAGCACATTGGTGCCTTTGGATAGAGCGTCTAAGAGTGTCCATGAGGCTTCTGAGGGCCTCATGTGCCTGAGATCATTAGAATCTAACGTGAAAAGGATGTACAGAATGTTGGAACAGCATCCTAACTGGAGTGGCTCGTTTGGTTGGGCGCCAACTCTCTAAGCGAAAGGTCACCGGTTTGATTCTCAGTCAGGGCACATGCCTGGTGTGTGGGCCCATCCCCAGCTGGAATGCGTGTGAGAGGCAACCGATGGATGTACCTCTCACACATCAATGTTTTTCCCTCTCTCTCCCTCCCTGCCCCTCTCTCTAAAAATAAAAAATAAAATAAAACCTTAAATTTTAAAAAAAGGATATCAGAACAGGAAGGCACCTAAAATACAATTTAGTTAAATTCACTCATTTTACAGGTGGGGAAATGGAGGCCTGGGGACTGAAACTGGGTCAGTGCCGCCCGTGATCCACATGGTCCTGCTCGGTTCAGAGACGGGGTTTGGAGGGACCTGAAGGGGATTCAGCCTAGCACACCGTCCAGAGTTCTGGTCGGGGTCCTCTGTAAGGGTTGCACCCAGCTGGCCGCTGGAGAGCGTATGAACAAGGAGCCCCTTGCACTGCCCGGTTCAGGCCCCCTTGCCCCACCTGGGTCCCAACAGGGGCTCCCTGATGCCCCACCCCCTGCCCCAGTCTTCAGCCTCATAGCTCCTACAGTCTGGCCCATTTCTGGCACGAGCATTCTTATGGGCAAGTCTCATGGCCGCTGACACATCCACTCGTGTCTCTGCATGGTGTCCAGGGTGAAATCCAAACTCAGCACACCAGGTCCCACAGCGTGGCCCTGCCTCGTCTCCCACCACTCCCATTTCTTGTGCCTCCCAGCAGGCGTCCTGTACTACAGAATCTAGTCTCCCAGATGCCAACCGCCACCATGCCACAAGGCCATTTGCTGCTTCTTCCCCTGGGCCTGTCGTGCTTCCCCACACTTCAGGCTGTAACGTCCAGGGCACTTGGGAGGGCCCGCCTGACCGCTCTGTGCCATAGAAACACCCCTTGGGCCTCCTTCGGACCTCTGCTGCGGGCGACAGGAGTGCAGGCTCCAGAGTCAGGCTGCTTGGGTTCCAACTCTGGCCCCAACCGCGTGACCTCAGGCAACCTCCTAACCCCTCAGAACCTAGTTTCCCCATTTGTAGGCCAGGTGTTGCTCTTGCCTCACAGGGTTATTAGGTCACTCAGCGCAATGCTTGTTCGACCAAAGGTGAGCTCTTCATTATCCCATTCTGAAAATTACTGATTTTCAAGATTCTTTTCCCCACTGGCTGGAGGGCTTCTTGATAAGAGATTTGTTTTTCCGCTCAGGAACGCCAACACTCAGCATCAGCCAGCCCCACCCCTCCCCACCCCACCGGGCAACAAGCCCTGTTGTTCATCACAATGAAATGAGTCTGCGGGTAGACCTTCCTGGGCAGGGCTGCTATCTAACCTGCCTGGCTTCAGAGGAATCCATCTGCAGAAGTTGGTTTGATTGTTGCTGTGTCTTAACATAGATCGTAGATGAGTCTTTAGTGTAAGGCACAGGTGGCAAACACAAGGCCCACAGGCCAAATCCGGCCCTCCACGTTGTTCCTACCCAGCCACAGCGCCGAGCTCTCACTTAGCCATTGAGGAGTAGTTACATTTATAAAGTCCTAAAATTTCACTTGTCCCTTTGAAGGCAACCGTGAGGCTGATGTGGCCCCCAGTGAAAATGAGTGTGACACCCTGGTGTAAGGCAAACAGGCAGGGCACCCATCTTCCAGGAGCAGGGGAACACTTTGCTCCTGATTCACGACCATTCCTGGGAGCTGGGTGCTACACTGAGTACACAGATCTCCAGCAGTCTGACTTTTCAGGACCCACTTCTATCGGGAGGAGACTATATCCTCACTCCCATTCGCTGCAACCCAGATTCCGTTATGAACTCCAGGGACTATTCAGCCCCTTTCCCGTATCGCAGTGTTGTCATGAAAGGAATCTCTCGTATAAGGAGCACGGATCCAGGCCCAAGGACTGTCAGACGGGGTTTGGTGTCCGTGCTGGGGCACTGAAGCAGGTGTTTTCCTACTGTTAGCGCTTCGTCTTTGCACCAGTTCACTCCTGCTCCTGTTCTGCTTAGAAGTCTGCTGTCTGTCCACCTGGCCTGTAGCTGGAGGTTGTCTTGAGCTTCATTGACTTTCGGCACGTAGTATTTCTAAGATGGCGATTGTCAGGCCAGAAGGTCAACCAGAAATACCTGTATTCTTTCCCTGGAGGAAAAAGGACTGTCTGGTTAGGGTTGGGAGAAATGGTTACTGTTCTTTCTTTTTACTCTGCTCATATTTTTTAAGAAGAAAAGAAAAGCAGGTGGTGACAAGGAAAATCTCCACACAGTCCACGTGGTCGGCTGCTCCCCAGTGGGGCTGGCTGCCTTACACGCAGGCATTCGCCGGAGAGTAGAAATGGACTTTTGAAAAGACGGATGACCCAACAACAAACATTTGCCTAAGCATATTTGGTCTTTTCCAGATTGTTTTGTTTTTTTTTTTAACAAATGCCATATTTCACAGGTATTTCAGGATTTCTGTGGAAAGTGGCATGTATAATGCCTGGTGGATAATACCTTGTATTTGGCAGCTCTACGCTTTTGTCTGGGGAGTCAAGTTCATGAAGGTGTACTTTACACACAGCAAAATCCACCCTTTTTAAGTGTACAGTTCAGTGAGTTTTGATAAACGTGTGGTCATGTCACCAGCACAACAATCAAGATATAAAATATCCGTCACCCCTAAAAAAGATCCCTCATGAGACTTCGGAGTCAGTTCCCTCCCTTCGCCCCCAGTGCTGGCAGCCACTGCTCTGATTCCTGTCCCCCCAGTTCGCCTTTTCCAGAATGTTTTGTAAATGGAATGATTCATTTTGTAGTCTTTTGTGCTTAGGTTCTCCCACTAAACATAATGTTTTTCAGATCTACCTATGTTATTGGTAGGTGTTTTTTTTTCCTTTTCCTTTTTAAGCCTGGATTGTATTCTCTGGTGTGGATACATTCCAGTTTTTGGTTTTTGTTTTTTTGTCTATTTTTAAGTGGTTATTTATTTATTTTAGAGAGATGGGAAGGGAGGGAAAGAAACACGGATGTGCGAGAGATACATTGATCAGCTACCTCTCACATGCCCCGAACTGGGGACCTGGTCTGCAACCCAGGCATGTGCCCTGACTGGGAATCAAACCAGCGACCTTTCACTTTGCAGGATGACACTCAACCAGCTGAGCCCCACTGGTCAGAGCAAGATGAACCTACTCTTGTAAAAAAGGTTTACATTGAAAATACTAAGTGGATATAAAGGAAAATGTTATTATACCAAAACCATGGGCCATGGAATTGCAAATTTTTAATTTTTTTCTTTTGCTTATTTGTAGTTTCCAAATTTTTCCACATAAGCATAAATTAGTGTGCTCTGTTTATAGAGACAATACCTGAAATGTACACAATAAAACATTCAAACAGAACTGAAAAAAGATAAAAAGTTCAAACAACTTCCTTCTCTGCCCCACAGATTGCTAAGAATATCTATTATTTTTGTAAAAAAATTTTTCCAACCAAAACAAGGGAACTTCCTCCACACCAACCACCTGAATCATTTCTAGATGCCTTGTTCCTCACAACACTGCGACGATTTTCCAGGGCTGACCTGGGCCTCCACCCGAGAGTCTTCAGTGCCTCCAGCAGGTGGTCACACATCCCCCTCAAGGACCCTCTGGAACCAGCTCCCTACCGTTTCTTTGCGGTGCCTGCCTCATCTTGACAGTCAACACTGGATGCAGAACAGCTTTAGTTGTATCAACACCTTCACAAAATCCAAGAGTAAGAAAGACAGAGGGAAAGGAAAGGGGAGGGAGGAAAGGAAGGGAGAGAGGGAGGAAGAAGTTTCAATTCTTTCCTTCCCAGAGCTTGCACTACCTCTTTTATTAAAAAATAAATAAAATAAAAAAAGACTTCCAGCCAAGATGGAGGCATAGGTAAATATACTTTGCCTCCTCTCACAGCCAAAAGAAGGACAACAACAAATTTAAAAACAAAAATAACCACAACTGCCAGAAAATCGAACCGTATGGAAGCCTGACAACCAAGGAGTTAGAGAAGGACTATTTGTTCAGACTGGTAGGAGGGGCGGAGCCAGGGAGCCGGGTTGGAGAGGACTCTTGGCAAGGCGGCAGCTGGCAGAGAGGGCGTCCCACATTCACCTGCAGATAAACTGGGAGGAACGACCAGGGAGCGAGACAAGATTGAGCAACCCAGGGTTCTGGTGCCGGCGAAAAAGAGTCTCAAAACCTCTAACTGAAAAAATATATGGGCGTTGCAGTGGCAGGCAAAACTCCCAGCCTCACAGGAGTTCATTGAGGAGACCCACAGGGTCCTAGAACCTACACAAACCCACTGACCTGGGAATCAGCATCTGAAGGGCCCAATTTGCTAGCGGGAAGCGATTGAAAGAGGGCTGAGAGCCGAGCAAGCGCCATTGTTCCCTCTCGGACCCCTCCCCCACATATAGCGTCACAACCCAGCGACATGGGCTAACCCACCCTGGTGAACGCCTAAGGCTCCGCCTCTCATACGTAACAGGTGCACCGAGACAAATATATATTTTTAAAATATTTTATTTATTTTTAGAGAGAGACAAAGTGAGGGAGAAAGGGGGGGGAAACCTCTGTGTGAGAGATATGCCGATCTGTTGCCTCTCGCACATCCCCAACTGAGAACCTAGCCTGCAACCCAGGCACATGCCCTGACTGGGAATTGAACCGGTGACCTTTTGGTCAGCAGGCTGACACCCAGTCCACTGAGCCACACCAGCCAGAGCTACGTTACCTTTTTTAATGCTTCCTGCTAATGTAGAATGAGTTTGAGTTTGAGTTTTTTCTTTTTTTCTTTTTTTAATATATTTTATTGATTATGCTATTACAGTTGTCCCATTTCCCCCCTTCACTCCCCTCCACCCTGTACACCCTCTCCCACCCACATCCCCCCCATTTAGTTCATGTCTATGTGTCATAAGTTCTTTAGCTTGTACATTTCCCTTACTATTCTTACCCTCCCCCTGTCTATTTTCTACCTACCATCTACGCTACTTATTCTCTGTACCTTTGTAACAGGATGCAGCCAAGAGGGGAGCCTCAAATAGGGATCTGTAATAAGATCCAGAAGAGCCTGGAGATAATTGGCTCCACACCACAGGGCCACACCTGCCCAGAATCTGGCAGCTGTAGCCAGTTGTGAGAGGAGCCTGAAATGGGGCTTCAGAGGAAGATTGGCGCTGGGATTTAAACTGAGACGCGGCCGCCATTTGAAGGGGGAGAATCGTGCGCAGCCCTGAAGGGGGAGAACCATGCGCAGCCCTGAGAGAGAGAACCACACAGCTTTAGCAGAATGAAGACTCTCGCGACCCTGAGGGAGAGAACCACGCGGCTCTGGCAGAGTGGGGACTCCCGTGGTCCGGGGAGAGAGGACCACGTGCCTTTGCCAGAGTGGGGACCCCCGCAGCTTTAGGAGATACGGTACTCTGGACTGGGCAAAGGGGGAAGGAAGGAAGGACTGTGTCTGTTTGTGGGTGCTTTAAGGGACTTTAGGATTTTTGGTGAAGACATTAGGTCCCTACTTTAAGTTTGTATAACATTAAATAAATGTTTCCTTTCCTTTTCACAAATCTCTGGCATTGAGAGACGTCTTTCCTCTGGCGGCGGACATACGGACCTGGGGGCTTCTTTATATCGTCCCAGGCCCCCCTTGTTTGTTCTGTAACACCTTTTCCCCCTCTCTCCTCCTCCCACTCCCCTGTTGCTAACCCTCCATGTGATCTCCATTTCTGTGGTTCTGTTCCTGTTCTAGTTGTTTGCTTAGTTTCTTTTGGTTTTGCTTTAGGTGTGGTTGTTAATAATTGTGAGTTTGCTGTCATTTTACTATACATGTTTTTTTTCATCTTTTCTTAGATAAGTCCTTTTAACATTTCATAAAATAAGGGCATGGTGATGATGAACTCCCTCAACTTGACCTTATCTGAGAAGCACTTTATCTGCCCTTCCATTCTAAATGAAAGCTTTGCTGGATAGAGTAATCTGGGATATAGGTCCTTGTCTTTCATGACTTGGAATACTTCTTTCCAGCCCCTTCTTGCCTGTAAGGTCTCTTTTGAGAAACCAGCTGACAGTCTGATGGGAACTCCTTTGTAGGTTTCTGTGTCCTTT